ACTGCTAACAAATTTTTGCTGGAGTTATATACATTTTAAATCAATGATTCCTGCCCATCTCTCTCTGCCCCAAGTTACTAAGGAGAGCAAAGAAGTTCAAGGATTTCTTTTGAAAGTAAAAATGCACTGATCTATATTCCCTATACACATTTGATTTCTAGAAAAATTAGGGAGAATACAAATAGTTCAAAAGAAATTCCCTTCTGGGTGATATCTCTTACCAATACTACACAAAAATCTCTTACATTTACCTCCCCAAGTAGAACTCATCAGTATTGCAAATATGCGTGAGTAACTATGATAACATTTTATAGTGTGACTTGGAAACTTGGAAATAAATAAAATTAATAAGTGAACAAATAAGTGTATGGCATAAAGTTAAGGACTCAAGAAAGTTAAAATCAAATAGGAAGTAGACTATGATTGCACTATTTGATATAAACATCAGAGGAATCTGCTCAGTACTGTATCTGTCCTGGACTATCTCTAGACTTCATGAACATGGGAGAGAAATATCCACCTAAATCTTGGTTAAGCCAATATTTATTATAGGTTTTTCTATCATCTTGAATTTCTAATAAATGAAAGCCCTTTTCAAATTAACTACTGTTAATTCAGTTCTCTCCCATCCTAACAAGTGGAGTTCCCTGGTTAAGATTTACATTCACTCCTGTCAAAATTCACCTTCTTAGTTCTGTCTTATTTCAAGACTGCCTACATCTTAGAAAAAAAATGTTTTTGAAAGGGTAGGGATAACTATCAATAGCTAGTCCTCTCAAGAGTCATCCAAAAAAATTACATAATAATTTCATCAAAGTCATTGGTAAAACATAAAACCAAACCAAAACAGGTACAGGTATCAATGGAATGGCTCAGAGAAATCTTTCCAGGTTGATATCAATCAAATACTCCTCTGGCAAGGTATAAATGACAATTAGAATAAAAAATAATATGCAAATTTTAAAAAGTCATCTAGGTGGGAAAAAAACCCTAAAGAATGAGTATTTCCACCTAATTTATGATCTTCTCACCTCCCCAAAATAGCTTAGACTCAGGGTTACCTTAAAACAATCTTAAAGAGTTTATTAAACAATTTAATAGTATATAGTTTTACTTTTTAAAAAGCAAATTTTTAAAAAACTTCTTCAATCCTTGTTAGCCAAATTTATTTGCAAAATTGTGATGCCCTAATA